ACAACGTGCAGAACTAAGAAATAATTTTTTTCAAGATATTTATTTTGTTAAGGACAAATGACTGGAAACGTGTAAAGAATTCAAAAACGTGAAGTGTTTGTCATGTTCTGACCATAAAGAATAGTTTAAAACCACAATTAACTGTCTGGTTTTTACAACTTTCACACTGGAGCAAAAATCTGACTTTAAACTTGAAAGAAATAAAAATTTGATATTCATCGTGATAATTATCGACACCGACTGATATAAAAAAACATTATCGTGATAATTTTTTTGGCCATATCACCCAGCCCTACCTGCTAATATATAATCTAAATTTCTTCTGATCAGTCATCTCAGGCCTGATCTCAGCCCTACATTTGTCCATATCTATGTCTCATATATCTATATCTATATCTATATCAACAAACCTCCCAATATAGGTCATGGTTGTTGAAAAGCACTCAACTAGCCCATCTGGACAGACAATGCACTGACTTGGCTGTTAATTACAATAATAACGATGATGCAAATGATGATGTGTTACTATAAGAGTGGAATAAATGCTCCCTTCTTGAAAATCAAGAGAGAAAATCAAGAGAGATGGCACTTAAACCCCATCAAGCCCAAGATGGATGAGGGCGATACAAAACGTGTGTCTTAAGCTTATGATTCATGCTCTAGAAGGGCGTCTAATTTTTCAGCAAACTGATAGCAGCACAAATAACACCTCAAAACGTATCAGGAAAAACTAAATCCAACAGCAACACACACAATTAAAAATCAGCTTTCATTAATGACAGACACAGCTGAAGGCAAGACAAGCTAGGTTGGATATATGGATATATGTTGGCCCAAAAAATGACCTTTTAAGTCACACTTAAAAATGTATAAATGTCCCTGCATTAGAGATAAAATATCAAACCAAGTGGAAAACAAATGACTTTTCCCAGATTAATTAATTTCACTTTACTGAACATTTTTTCTGATGACGTTTCCACTGTTTGACAACCACAAACATATAGTAGCTATTCTTTTATCTATACACTTCTTTTTGCTAACTGTTTCGATTGGAAAGAGTGCCTGTGCTATCTTTAAAATGACACTTGTTTTTTTTTTGTTTTTTTTTACAGAAATAAAAAATAAGATATTTTTACATGTACCTTAAGTGTCCAAATACTTTTTGGGGGGAGCCACTGTATAATGCATAACCTCCACTGCATCAGTAGTTAAACACAACAATGTATGAAAGCGAACTCAAAAGATAAATTGCCATCTGACTAGGGCTGCACAATTAATCGAATTTCTAATCGTGATTACAATTACGGATGCCACAATTACATAATCGTTCAAAGCAGCAATTAATCGTTCAAAGTCCACTTATATTATTCTGCATGCTTAAGATGCTTTTTTTTTTCTACATGTTATCTTAAGGGTTTTTCGATTGTTTTAATTTTAGTTTTTGTATAACATTATAATACCATGCATATTTTTACCTTTTTATTTAAAGAAGAAACCAATCCAATGTATAGTTGACATTTGAGGCTTAATACTATAGAAAAGCAATAAAAGTTTTTCAGTTAGTGTTTTCAGCTTGTTTATTTTCATATAAAAATATGGCATGCAGTTGCTTCAAGCAAAGGTGTAAGCATCATTCATTTAATCGTAATTAATAATCGCAATTACAATTTCAAAGGAATAATCGACCATTATGATTTTTGTCATAATTGTGCAGCCCTACATCTGCCCTCTGTTAAACAATGTTTATTCTAACTAACACTCAAGGTCACTATGTCACACAGTGACATAGGGAGTTGCATATGAAGAGCTAATTCGCCTGTGTTCGAAAGGTTTTGTTTTTTGTTTTTCTTCATTTAATCATGTTCCACCTTTACCTATTGTTCAATAGTTTATTGTCCCTATTCTAAGCCATGCCATATTTTAAGATTTAATGGCTTGGCACTGCCTCGTCTTACTCCTACTAACCCCTATCACAGAGACAGGCTTCTTGATTGGCTATTGGCCGGCTCTGGAATCCCGCCCATTTGTCTGTCGCTGACGTTGATGTGCGTTGACCTTAAGCTCAGCTGCTGGGCATTCTCCGAGTTGTACACATACTCCTGAAGCTGTCGCAACACTAGAACGCCAACACCAAACACTGTCAACCCAGCTATGGAGCTCCGCTCGAGCTAATGAGTTCCCTGCAGAAGCATGCTAACTAAAACTGTCTTCCTATTTACCACATTTACATGATACTCTTAAACCACTACACACTTCATTTCTGAGACAAAATATCAACTTCAAGGTGAAAACCATGCCTTGTTAGTTAAAAAATTTGGTGGCTTGGCAGTTTATGATCATGGAAAAATGAGATATTTTCAAAATGAACAACATCTAGTCAACTAAATGATCTTTAAGTTGGCATGAAATGGAAATTCACCCTACTTTCTAAATGCGTGTTATTGATCTTACTGTGAATGATTCATCTAATGATTTAGTCCGCTTAAACCCCGCCCATTCTTACAATCCACTTCAGCCGATCTGCCTCCATTCAGTCAAGAACTGGTGGATTGAACCAAGTCATTGCCTATTTTTTCAGTTTTGCACTTCAAAATAGGAAGAAAAGATCTGTCACGACTTCTGTTACATCACAACTTTAAAGAAGCTTGATTGGATGCATTTCTCAAATCTACATAAGATGCATTCCTGTATTCAAAAACATCTGGACAGAGCGCACCAGATGTGTTTTTAAATGACAGCATTTTTATAACACAATGCTAGTAGCAAAATAACAGTGTGATCAAAACACCCATCTGAATGCATAAAGATATAGCAGTGATGTTTTCAAGGGAAAGAATTTAAATACCCAACTATTTTTGAGATGATTGTACAGTGCAAAGTGCACAACAAACCATACAACTAAACTGCAACATGCTTAAAATATAAAAACTAAAAATAATTGGTGCAAGATAAACCAGTAGACTAATTGATGGTTGGACAACTAGACTATTACTGTGACTCATCGCTAATGGGTCTTACTACAAATCACATCTCATGAACTTATTTGCTCGTTTTTCCAGGGTCATGTCCGTCTCTCTGGGTCAGATGAGAGTCCCGTGCTCCAGGCATGTAACTATGCTTGTTCTCTGCTTCTCTTTCACACACACACACACACACACACACAAAGATGCCAAGTGCCAAAGGTGTTTTCACTGTCAGACCTCTCTTTATGTCTTTCTCTCAAACAGTCATTCATGATGATTCCTTCTCTCTCTCTCTCTCTCTCTCTCTCCCACACATTCCTTTTCTGTATATCTAGGTCACATTCCCTCTCTCATGCCCACCCTCCTTCTCTTGACAGATCATATTGTTTCTCTCTTCTCAGAGTAACTCTCAGCCTAAAGACAGTCACTCCTAATCTACACGACCCACCGCAGTGCTATACTGTCAAATAAATGTCAAATTGAACACTGTAAACATTTATCATCCTATACTTGCTTTTTGTGACAAAATGGTACAATAACACAAAGCTACAAAAAAAGAAAAAGGCTAGGGTGAAGCTCATGAAACCTGTCAAGAATGTTGACACTGAAAATAATAAATGTTTTTTAACACCAAATCAGCATATTAGAATGATTTCCTGAAGGATCATGTGACACTGAAGACTGGAGTAATGATGCTGAAAATTCAGCTTTGCCATCACAGGAACTATTTACATTTTTAAATATATTAAAATAGAAAACAGTTATTTTAAATTGTAATATTATTTCAAAATATTACTGTTTTTACTGTATTTTTGATCAAGTAACATCAGCCTTGGTGAGCATGAGAGAATTCAAAAGCATTTAAAATAATCATATTGACCCCTTTAGATGGTAGTGTATATATGAAATCATGTCACAATGCAAAAAAACAAAAAACACACACACACAAAAACGAAAATATGACCTGGACATAATCTTGCCAGGTTTTATAATGACCAGTCTTGTCTGCATCAAAAAAGTAAACACTTAAAAGACTAATCTTACTAATCTACATTCCCAACCTTAATTTGATTTCCTCTGACCACGCAATCAGAAAGCAATGTGTCTCTCCACACAAGCTGTATTTAGAGGGTTGTTGGGCCTATTTTAAAATGTTTTTCAGTGCCTGTGGAATCAAGTACATGTCAAGTGCTTGTTCTCCACATTACACATTCTCACCACAATGACCACACAGCTAAAGGGACATGATGAGGATGACACTCTGGCAAAGCAATTGCTGGCTTCAAGTTTCAGGAGGGAGGACAAAAGGGCATAAAAAGATTTACACCCCTCAACAGCGGGATGGCGTAAAAACTGAAAATCTCTTTCTGACATTTCATTGGTGTAGTTTCTGTCTCATTGCCATGGTGTTTGGATCTGCCTTTGGCACTAACAGTAACCATGGAAGCAGATTTAAATATAGTTATCAGCATGTTGTAGAACTTTGAGTGTTCTTTGAATGTTCTGTAACTGAATTTCTGAGCATTTACAAATCAGTACTACCATGGTACCAAATGGTACCATAGTATCCTTTGATGTAAATACTACAATACATGAAAATGGTCATTTTTCAGTACCATACTATTACCATCTACCATCACTGCACATAGTGAAGTTGGAATGAACTGGAAATGCATCATCCATTTTCTAAATGCATCTTAAAGATCTTACTGTGAACAATTCATTCATGCACGTTTCATATTTTCAAGATTTTTTTGACCTTGTACTTTTTAATCAAAATGTCATAACCGATGGATAGAGCCAAGTTCCCTTAATACATTTTTTTCTTTTTCAAGAATCCATTTCACTCCGAAGTATGTCACAATACAGAAGAAATTAACTTTCATTACTTCGGTAACATTGCAACTTTAAATGACCATGTTTTACCATGTTGTATATTAGTTGTAAAATTGTTCCTAGAATTAAAACCCAACCATTATAATGTAACGAAAAATAAAAACATTGAACGTTTCAGAACATTTTCAGGAACTGACTAACCTCTCGCGGAGAGTTTTTTGGTGTTGATGATTTTGGCGGCGTATTCTTGGCCCGTGCTCAACTTCACACATCGTCGCACCACTGAAAACGCTCCCCTGGGATAAAAGACAAATTAATTGAGACTTTAAGTATATAGACCTGACAGTATAATAGTAACATAGCCATAACAGTTCTACATGTTGACAGTGAAGTTTCTGTTGTATGAAAATTTAAATTCCAAACACCAGACAGACTGCCTCAAACCCTGGCAGCGTGTGTGGTATTTGTTTCTAAAATTTCAGGAGGGAATAAACAGAAGCAAAGAGAGTAAGATAATGGACCCCATGTTAAACACAGCAGATTATTTATTCATCGCAAATGTCCCTACGTCACATGATCACACGGTCGGACTCTTTTGCAGTAGTGGCTGTTCGATTGTGAAGACTGATGTCACTAAAACGAGAGCTAATTCTGGCGGCCTGTATTAATCAATTATACTCAACTGGGTTTGTGTTATATGAATAAAACAGCAGAGTAGGTTTGTCATGTTTAATAGGTTTTCACATCTTATGGCAAGAAAGACGACTGGGCTTAAAACAACATTTTTGCAAAACCTACATTTATGCAATAATGCAAACACTGTGATGTAGCTGAAGATTGCATCTCTTCACACTCATCTTAGGTTTATCATACATGGGTTGTAATAAAATCCAAATAGGCAGTATTGCACAAATATGCTGAAACTCATTTAGGTAGGTAGGGCTGAATGATTTGGAGGAAATTAATCTAATTGCGATTTTTCTGATAATTGTGATTGCAATTTCAATAATAGCAACAATGATTATTAATTAATAATAAAATAATAATAAATTAATAATTAATAATAAATACATCAGAAAATTAATATTAGAATGTTACAATAGTGTTACTATTCCAACAGTAATATTTCTTAGTTTGATACTTTAATTTAGTGAAATTTTTTTTTACTATCATTATTATTCGTAGTAATAGAAGAAAATACAAATATTAATTAAAATAATAAATATTACTATTACATTTAAAGGGGTCATGAACTGAGAAATCAAATTTCCCTTTTATAAAAACATCCTGTACGTTGCAAAACTCAAAACTTTCTCTTTAGTTTAAAACAGCTTTTATTGAAGCCAAGCTCAGAAAATGACTCGTTTTGGAATACTCCACTTTATGATGTAATAGTGTGGCTAAACACTCGCTCACGTCCGGTGTAAACAAGGGGGAAAATTAGCAAAGATCTCCAGATCACGTCAGTAGTATATATTTATTTAATGCCAATGTCAGCATCAAAGGCTATTTTCATGGCAAAAACAATTAAAAAAATACAAGTATAACAAATACAATAAAAACCAGCAAACAAACAATCACAAGTTATATCACACAAGATTTTTTACATTAACATGCGATAAAAATTATAAAACTTTTCCTGGCAAAATTTTACTAATTAACTTTTTAAGTGAGTTCACTTCATAAAAGAGTTTTCCAGATCACGTCAGTGAAACACTGTTTGTTTGCTATACTTTGCTACGGATTCATTTTTAAACAAGACAGTATGATGCAGGCTTTTCAGAGAGACAAAGTAAATGATGATGCAGCGCTGAGTCTGACTAGAGTGGATCCAACAGTAATGTCACAACACACAAGTGTGAGTAAATGTGCTTTTACCACTGCTGCATTGTCTGTTTCAGACTGTTTGATATATACTGAGTATTTATACATTTTTAACCCAAATGTTTTCAGAGTACGTCACAGCAGCGTCCAATTGTTATTTTAAGAAGCAAAACTGTTGGCCAATCATAGCAGTGGCCATTTACTTGAGAGTCTTGAATTCGCCCCGCCTATAAAAACAGACTTTTCTGCAGAGAGGCTACAAAACAAAATAGCCCGTTACTTCTACATTATGATTTGTTTAAATGTAAAAATCACACTAACATTATAAGTGAACCTTTAAAGGAACACTCCACTATTTTTGAAAATAGGCTCATTTTCCAACTCCCCTAGAGTTAAACAGTTGAGTTTTACCGTTTTCTAATCCATTCAGCCGATCTCCGGGTCTGGCTAAAGTTCACTAAAAGGTGAAGTGTGTAATTTTTACGGTGTGTAAATCAGCCAGAAATCACCATTGACCCTTACTTTACTTTCTTAATATGTCCCTTGTCTTAGTGTGAAAAATCCATTGGTGGCATCAAAAAATACATTAGAAAAAAGTCATCAGACATCATTAAAAAAAAACTTTAAAAAATCTCAAAACCACTGCCAATCATGTCAGGGGTCGTCTCTAGGCAGTATTTAACAAACCGCAGTCACCCGTAAGTGCTCTTCAATGGGGCCTGTTTTTGTCAGGCCAGTTAAAGCCCTTAGTGTCTATTAAAGTGATTTATAAGAACTGGATGTGTGTGTGTGTGTGTGTGAGGCACAAAGACTCCAGTTCCTCCTCTACAACCACCTCTCCCTGCATTACTGGGATGACTGGAGCTACAGGGTAAAAGAGAGACACATAAACACACAGGTCACATGCGATTCTGTGCTACAATGTGTTGTCAGAGGTCACGTGCTATAATATCAGCATATTTCTGCTGATTTGAGCAGCAATGCGCAATTTGAATGTTGTTTTCTGCTAGACCTCAGGCCTGAGGGGTGATGAGACCTTCATCAAATGCTCTTGCCCTGCTGCCCCTTCACATCCGTGAAAGCATCACTAAATCCTTGCTGTTCATTTCCTCTTCCTCACTATCTCACCATTCACTCATTGTTCCTGTAATACTTGATTCCCAGGGAGAATTTGCATAACCTCTACATTCAATCCCAGTTCTAAAAAAAACCGAGATGGTCGAGAACGAGAAAAAAAGATAACTATGCACTTACACGCATATAAAGCACTGACTATCCAAACTCTGATTAAAGGAAGTAATACTTGTACACATAACATATGTCTCGTGGTAAACAATGCATTATTTTGACGGTTCTTACAAAGAATGATTTTTGAATGATAATAATGTAAGCATATGAAATAGGCCATCGTATTAGTAGCAGTTTTTTTTTCATTGTCCTTTTCGCTAAAGACTCCTTTCCGCGAATCGATTTTTCCAGTTTATTTCAAAGATCCGATTCAAAATAACGATTCAATGATTCTATTAGCCATGATTTATTCATGTCATCACGTGGTCCCTGAAATTCCAGCGTGAAATTTTACGAGCTCAAAAACATTTAAATAGTCATATCTCACCACCTCATAAAATCAAAGTATTTTAGCTCTTAAAAGTTACTTACAGCCTGAATATAATTTGAATTTGCAATCCTAAATCAATTAAACCTCTCGGCTGAAACCGTTTTTACACAAATGGAATTTTCAAATCTGTGACCAACCTGTCATACTGGTCAAGACGCAAACATATTTCCAGTACGTTTTATTTGTTAATATTTCTGCTACTGAAGTAAAGTTCGCCTCAAGTTGCAAGTATTCTATCAGTTCACTCCAAATGCAGAGACAACCGAGTTCATTCATTTGCACCGATTCAGTCAGATTCGTAAACAAGTAGTTCAGACCGGTTTGTGAACCAGATCAACCGATTCCTTCAAAAGATCCGAATCAACGAACGATTAGTTCACTATTCGGACATCGCTATACCATAGCCTACATACAGTATTTATAGTAAAGCCCCAAGACGTTGATTACGTGGAAATGTCAAATACTGCCCAGAGCAAACTACCACTAAATTTTGCTCTTGCATTTCTACTTTTACATCTGATGATCAAGGAATCTTTGCTTGAGGGGCGTTGCACTAATCAATATTTTGTTGCATCTGCGGTAAGTGGGTTGTTTTGAAATCATATTAGACGGTCTGAGTGGTGGTCAGCGGATCTTGGCAGGACTTGCGTGTGTCTATCTTCTCCCTCTGTGACAGCACGTTTATCGGGGCACCACCACTCCTCGCGCTTGCTGTCAGTTTGGTAACCCTGCACAAATATCATGCAATCTTCATGCAGGACAGTTCCACACATGCACAACCGTTAACCTCGTGATACTCACTTGCCCAACTCCTCGTACAGCTGATATTCGTCCGTGAAGCGTGTACATGTAGTCGTGGCCATGTCTTCCCGTCTCGGACTCGGACACGTTTTAAGAATTAAAAATCGTCCTTGATTCAGCGAGCCAGAGCGTCCGGGATAGTCACCTCGATTTTGCGCTCAAAAAAAGCCTGATATGTTTTGAAATGACAGGTTTATGGTTGAGTAGGGTAGCGTGTATGCTGACGGCGGGCGTCCTCACCCCCGCGCTGTGCTCCAATCGCCTGCCTTCAAAATCGACTGCGAGAGCACTCTGACAGCTGACTCAAGCTCGCCACCTATCGGCGGCATGCAGAACTAGCGTGCGTGGGCGCGCTAATGGTTTACTGTTATAGTTTTTTCAGCCATTAGATAACGAACTTGGACGCACACTCTGATATTTCATATTCAGCTCAATGTCAACATCATTAACCCCAATTACACTAATTAGAGCTGGTATGACTCATTAGGAGTGTTTTGGTTCTCTGTGGAGGAGGGGCAGAAATTCACAAGAACATTTATCGGAAAGAAGATCAATGCTAAAGAGATTCGGCCGAGAATGATTCAGAGCCAGTCACACATTTACAGTTATTTATTCATTTTTGGAGAGAAACGTATCTTCTTCATAAAAAAAAATAGATTAAAACTGTAAAGTGTTAGGTTCACATGCTGATGGCTCATTGACATTTTTTTTTTCAATTTATTGTTTTATAATGACATCAAATATTGATGTGTAATGAGACCAAAAAAAAACAATGAATATTTTATTGCTTGAAAAATATGCACACTCTAACTCACCACTGTCAGTTGGGCTTTGATGGGAGTTCAAACAGTATTCAATCATTCTGGGCCCTTGAAAATTAAAGGACTAATTTTAGTATTCAGCATTTCTCCTATAATAAGCTGGTCACATCGAATTTGCATTTACTAAATTTGTAAAATGTAAGTATTTCAGAGGTAAATGTTTGGTAAATACATACAAGACAGAATTCTTATTCCTCGTTGATTTTTAGAATGACAGCAATGGCTATAGAGGGAGCAAAAGATAAAATTCAATGAGACTGAACTATCACAAAGGGCTTTACAAATATTCCACAGCCTTGTCTATGAGAAGAGACTGTCACACAGTAAGACGCAATGCATTGACATGAAGGTGAAAAAGGAAATCAGCATATGAAGCTCCACCGTTAGGACTCTTGTCCTCCACCAGGAGGCGCTACAGAGACTCCTCACAGCTGTCACCCTCTCGCACCAGTTTTAGCTGGACAAAAACAAATAACACATTGAAACAAATATAAATCAACTATTTACACAATTAAACACATTTTAATGCCACAACTGAGTTTGGAAGGAAAAACGGTCAAATCCAATACTGTGGTTTTAGCTGTGCTGATTTTTTGACGCAAAAAGTTAATCTTGTCAGTTCCTGAATTAAATACTGTGCAAATGAAGGGTGTGAGTCATTCACCTGGAGAGTAACAGCTGCTGAGGACTGCAGAGAGCATATGAGAGCTCTGGTGCTGATGGAGAGGGAGTTCTCAAGCACTGGAAGTTTGATCTACAGCGAACATACAACACACATGCTATGTACAAGGCAAAAGTGGAATCAAAGCACTAAAATTCGATGAATGCAATACACAATATGAAGAAAACTTGCTTAAATGGGTACTTCGACATGACATTTCAAGCAATCACATGTGTTTCCTGCAGAGTGACATGGTCATTCCAACTAAAACTACTTTAAACATTTAACACATTTTTGTATGTGTGTATATATACCTATATCTATATATATGTGTGTGTGTGTGTGTTATTCAGCGAGGACGCATAAAATTGATCAAAAGTGACAGTACAGACATTTATAATGTTACAAAAGGTTTCTATTTCAAATAAATGCTGTTTGTTTGATCTTTCTATTCATCAAAAAATCCTAGAAAAAAATGTATCACAGTTTTTCTTCAAAAATATTAAGTAGCACAATTGTTTTCAACATTGATAGTAAAACGTAATGTTTTTTGAGCACCAAATAATCATATTAGAATGACTTCTGAAGGATCATGTGACACTAAGGAGACTGGAGTAATAGTTGGAAATTCAGCTTTGCCATTATAGAAATAAATTACATTTTAAAATACATCAAAATAGAAAACAATTACAATTAAATTGTAATAATATTTCACAATCTTACTATATTTTTGATCAAATAAATGCAGACTTGGTGAGCATAAGAGACTGAATCAAATATTATATTTAAAACAGACAATTTAGTTGAATGATTGAATAACCCATGACAGACAAATCAGAATCCCAGTAAAAGAGATTCATCTGAAAGGTAAATTTATTCTATGACTAATATATAAACATGAATATATACCATATTTAACTGCCCATATTTTAACTGAAGATGTCATAATAACATTATGATTTCACTTAATTAGCCTATAGGTTTTAATAAACAGCAAATATGTCTAAAATGTACATCTTACCCATGGAAATACTCAATAATAACCCCATAGATTACAATAAGTACTGAAGAAAATAATGACATTAGTAACAAGTCACTTAGGGCCTTCTGTGCTATTTCTAAGTTTCTATTTTATCTTATCAATTCAAAATAAAAACAATATTTTTTCTCCACAAATCTAAAAATATTAATGTCCACAAATCCCTCATTAACAAATAGACACAAAAATCTTTGATATTAAACATAAAACAAAGTCATAGATCACTATTTATAAAGATACAAATTTAGATAAATTAACCTCAAAACTCGAGGTGGTGTGGGGGGATCTTACCGCATCTTTTCCTATATACAGTTCATGGACACCTTATTTGTCAATTGCCCATTATCCAGTAGTCTATTATGGTAGAAAACAGCTGATTAGATTTTAAAGTTTTCATTTAAAACATGTATCCAACCCTCAGATTCTCCCTTAGATTAACTGCTTCTACGAATTGTTCTCATTTGTCAGTGACTTTAGATAAACTCTGCTAAATGAATAAATGTTAATGTAAACGCCAACTCAAAGTGTCCCCGCCTCACCTCTCCAGATGTGAGGTAGGAGAAGGAGTTGGTGTTGAAAAGTTGTGGAAGAGTATGAGGAGGCACACAGCTGCCCACCCAAAGGAGCAGTGCCAGTGGGCAGTAGATCAGATACAGACCCCCTGGATCCAGACTAGAGACAGTGCAGCGCACGGCTTCTCCTAATGATGGCATGTTGGCATTATCAGCAGAGACAGACTGCAGGGGTGAGAAGGGTAAACAGAGACAGAGGCGTCATCATCCCGTCAGGAGAGAAAGTGTCAATATTTTAGGTGGAAGTTTGCTTTGGCCTTAAATGTGACATGGATTTTCCTTGCTCTTTTTTATGTTTGGTGTACAATGCAGACAAACTTTCATGGCTTTCAGTTCACATTCCAATTCAACAAGACCATTTATTATAGAGGTCTTTTACACAAAAAGCCTTTAAAGGTACAGTTAGTTGCCTGTTTTTATTGGTTTCGACACTGTGGAAAATGGACAATAATAGAACATTTGTCTATTTATGACAAATTTTTGGATATATTTTTTTGTCTTTTCTTGTTTTTTTTAATTATGAAAAATCTAGCCAATACCAATAAGTTGGTAGTAATGTTCTTGCTATGGTAAATAACCAAGAACTGGCAGATGATAGATAACATTTATACTATTTATACAATTTTGTCTAAATAAATTAGAGATACAACTTTAAAACTAAAATTAATCATTTTAAATGCTGTAAGTGAATTTAGGCATTACAACACTGTAATATACAGTATAAAAAGTGGACATTCATTTTAAGATTTGCTAAAGATTGCATTTAATAATGTAAATTAGTGTATATGTAAATTAGTGCAATGTAATAAGTTTACACAGGAATTATATGACGACAAAGAAAATCTAAATCTAAAAATAGACAATTAAATATTCAGTATTGGCTGATATATATCCAATACTTATCATATATTGATAAATTATACTGATAAATTACAAAATAAATTTCTAATATCAGCAGACATTCAATGCGATACTAATATAGTGTGCATTCCTAATTATAATTATATTGGTGCCAGAAATCTTGACATAATAAGTAAAAAATAATATGCTACAAATAGAGAGATACAGTAAATGCATTTATTGCTAGAGTCGTGAAGAATGTGGCATCTCTAAATCCTGCCATGTGCATAACAATCCAACAGAGAATTACGAATTCTTACAGACAAGGAAACTGTCTCATTTCAGTGACTAATTTGGATGAACAGAATGTTCTAAATGTCTGTCTCTCACCAGAGGCAGAATAAGTGGGTAGAACTGGGAAGCAGCGCTCAGCGTGTCCATGGAGACAATGAGGCTACGCAGTCGTAGACGTTGATGTACACAGCTCCGCAGCCCAGGCAGCAGCACTTCACTTTTGCACAGACTGTTAATGTAGACAGGTACGACTTTCAGAAACTGAGGCAACACCAGCTGACAGAAAGAAAGACACACACAGAGAAAGAGAGAGAGAGAGAGAGAGAGAGAGAGAGAGAAGAATGACATTCAAGACTATTATCCAAATGAAATAGGATTCACTTAGAATGGCTTCTCAATATTATTATCTGTGTCTGCATCATTAATGTGGCTAATGAATGGTAAAATTAATTGAGATTGGGGTAACAGTATATTAGACTATCTATTATCTCCTAAAAATACTTCCCCCCTAATTACGCAATTCACTAATAACTGTCTAGGGCTTTTACACAAATAAGGCAATGTGACAAAAAGGTGACTATTTATTTAAGCAATTAAAAATTAATTGGCCTGAAAACTTATTTTTTTAATTGGTATCACCCATCATGGTTAAATATTTGACTAAAATTACTGCTTAATCTGAAACTGTATGATAAATTTCTAGAGTATCTGAACATTCAAAAGCGTGTGCTGGTCTAGTAACTTACGAAACCTATGAAAGATCCTCATTAAAGAGAGAGTAATATATGAAGTAGGGATGCACAATATTATCGGACCAATATCGGAATCGACCGATAATGGCTTTAAATGTAAATATCGGCATCGGCCTGATATGAAAAATTATACCGATATGTCTTACCGATAAGAGGAGTATATTAACCCATATGTGCTCAGGGTGTGCTAGCGATTAGATCACGTCAGCAGTGTGGCTCATTCTTGAAGCAAAGTTTTGCCTGAATGGTGATTGGATTCACTGTTTTGATGCTGCATTTAAACTGAGAATGCAAGTACAGAATGACGCGTTCGGTGTATGATAGAGTAAACAGCAACGCCCGTTTCACACCGCATGCGTAAGCAGAGCAGAGGCAGCGCAGAAGCGGCGCGTATGCAAAGCGGGAGCAGCGCGCGCCCATTGTGCTTTCACACTGGCAGCGTTTGTTGCTTCTTCTTCTTATGATGATGTTTAATGGCGGTTGGCAAACCAGCTTTTGGTGCATATTCCGCCACATACTGGGATGGAGTGTGAGGCGCTGATATCAAGGGAAATGCTAATTCTCAAAAAAAAACAAAAAAAAACAACCTTCTACCTATATTTTATTATATACATTTGTTATTTTCAGAAAATTAATAAGAGCGTTATAACCTTTATGAGAACTGTTTAACACATTCTGTAATGTCATAGAATTAATGCCGTCAGATTTTAATTCCTCTTTTAACTGTATTCTTTCCCTTTCATATGCCCTACAGTTAATCAGCACATGCTCTATTATCAGTTTGGTTTAAGATAATTAAAGCAAGTTTTTCAATAACTAGAATAATATGTAAAAGTATGGTATTTGGGGTAAAAGCGCCCCTGCTGTTGGGGCGAAAGGCACAGTAATTAACATGATAATTAATAGATGGCTGACTCCAATTGTTGACATGACACATGGTTAGATTCAGATGGTAAATATCATATAGCCTATTATGTTGGGTGTCCACCTTAGAGATATTCACCGTGTTTATAATGAAACCATCATATTTAAAAACATGATATTAATCATATCATATCATATAATAAAATATAATTTGTTGTTACTACTGTAAATCTATATTAACTTATCATGGGATCTCCTTCAATGCTTTCAAAATCTTTACTTTTTATTTTGTTTCTGTATTTTAAAAGATATTTTTATATAAACATTTTAATGACAGTATATTTATTGAACATTTATCAAAATAAGTAGGAAATAGCCTAGTACAAACTTTGCTAAAGTGATTGTTTTGAACAAGTATTAAAACTTATTTGAACTTAGACATTAATATTAAAAAAATATTTTAGCTAAAGTATTTATCAATACTGTGTGCCTTTTACCCCATGATTGTGAAACACGAAACACCTCACGTGATTTTACAGTGAAATGCAGCAATAGACTCGGCGCCGAAACTATCGCAGCACTGCTCTGCTCCTGCTACGCGCTGCCGCGCCGCCTCTGCATGCGGTGTGAATGCTCTAATCTGTTAACATGCGCGCCGAAAAAAATACGCTCTTCTTACGCGTGCGGTGTGAAACGGGCGTTACCCCTGATGCAATCGCGATCTCTCCGTGCTAGAAAGTATTTCTCTTTGCTCCTGGATTAAACTGTCAAAATTGATCAACCATTCAGAATAGATCCATGCCTGACTGATGAAAATGCTACTGGAAATTTTATTGGCTGTAAGTGAAATGCACCAGAAAGTCTTTCAACAATCAAAGATGGAACTTTAATTTTTTTACAATGTAAGTTCTAATCTGTTAACATGCGCGCCGAAAAAAATACGTGCTGCTTACGCATGCGGTGTGAAACGGGCGTAATAGCACGTGCAGCGGCAGCAGCGGCAGCCTCCCCCGGGTCCTAATGCCTGCTCAGTAAGGAGTTTTAATTCCGTAGGGGGTGT